ATTTATTATTGATATATGAAAATATTATTAATTTAGAAACAGGATTCTTATTTTATATAAAGCTACAGCACAATTTTTATTATGTCAGACATCTACCTAAAAATCTAAAAAATCTCAGCCAAGTATCCAGTTGTTTTTCTGAAATCAACTATCCAGCTAATGATTGGTTTTCATGTGAATAGTTGGTATTATATAGGCATGGCCACATTATCAGCTGAAATTTTTCTAAGTAACACTGATGAGGTAGTGAGAAAAATCAATAATTTTAATCTTAAAAATAAATCTTACAGTAGGCAATCTGCTGAAATCACTTTCACTGATATATAGGCACTGAAATAGAAAGAAAATGTTGATGGGTTGTAATAATAGATTGTCCTAATCTTCTCTCTGTGCCTTGGAGTGCATCTACTTTACCTTGTAAGCATTATAGACGTGTCATCTAAGATGACTCACAGGTAGACCTTCTTGTACTGAATTCTGGTTTGATTTTTATTATAGGGTTGATTCCTGTACATTACAACGCAATCATAGTCATCTGACATCCTTTCCAGGGCTTTCACTACAGTGTGGCTCATACAGAAGAGGAGTAATTTTGAAAATAGACATCTCTGTAACATTTCTTCTGATCTTTCTTGGATTTGGCTAAGAAGCAAAGAGAGATGGGAAAGGTCATTGGGAACCATTTTCCACTCCCAGTTTTCAAAGGGGCTTGTTTTTAAATACATACGTCTCGGATAAAACGCTAGCTGCCAGTCATTTCATAGCACCTTTTCTTTTTTCTCGAGGAGATGGAAAACCATGCTCATTTTCTCCCATGCAAATTCTGGGCCAGATTCCTCACTGGTGAGAAGTCGTAATCGTTATGTGAAACTAGGAGTTTAATGGCCATATGTCTTTCAGAATTTATCTCTTGTGTGGCATTTGTAGAGGAAGTATGGACACATACAGACACGCTACATTTTAGATTTTCTGCTAATGCAGTTACATAGAAATTCTACAAAATCAGTCCTGGACAGATTGGGCATGCAGCAGTAAAATTAAATGTTGACTACAAATTGAATCCCTCTTTAAGGATGTCCATATTTTAACTAGCATCATCAGTGATTTTAATGAAATATCTTTAAGGAAGATAAAATGTATGGGCATTGTAGATTTAAAGAAAGGAAATAGATTTAGTAATTTGTTAATGATCATATGGAAAATTCACTAGGTTTACAGTTTGAATGAATGTCAAGATCAAAGTCTTCTTTCTGAGAATGAACATACCATAACACCTTAAAAGGAATGGAGGTATTACCCAATATGATTTTATAAAATTTAAAGAATTTTTGGTTCAAGGTAAAAGTGTAAGTAGACATAGTGGGCATTTGTGACTTGGCGCTTTGGCTGCCAATCACAAGTTTAAGTTTCTGACCCACTGCAATGAAAATACAAGGGGAGAGATCTCTTATTTTCCTCCTCTCCTTGACAGCTAGACAAATACGTAAGGTGGGCTCTGTCAATCTATCTGCCATGCATATGGAGCGAGAGACATGGAGTGGAAGGCATGAGAAGAATAGACATAGCATCATGCGGTGACATCTAGCAGTGGTGGCCCTGTCCGGTGGCAACAGAATATGAGCCAGACTCTGTCTGCTGCTCAATCACTATGCCCAGTTTGCCTGCTGGCCGGACCTTTTCTGCTAATGTCATGGCCTTCTTTAGCTTTCCAATAATGCCTCTGCCTGCTTAAGATGTCCAGAGTTAGTTTCCATCGCTTGCAGAAAAGAATTTTGACTTAAATGCAAATCTAATTTTATTGTTATTATGCATAAAATCCATTTAACATCCAAACAAGCATTTTTTACATTGAGTGTACCAACTTTTTATTTGTTCTTTATATAGACGTAAAACATTTTCTAACAGGGATAGAGTCTCAGTAAATAGTGGTTGTTTCCTTCCTCCAGATACAGAATAAAGAAAATGTAGTTTATGTCATAATCCATTACATTTTTTTATTAATTTGCAAAATGTAATAGCTTTACATAAAAGCAGTAAAAATTAATTTCTCTTAAAATATTTGAAAATAGCACAAGCTGAGCCATTAGGCATATCACAAATGTGGCTGTTCTCACTTAAGCTGCATAGAGAAGGCTCAGCAGGTGCATGCTGTGACGTTCCCTACATAGCATCGGGCATGAAGAAGACCAGCAGTGGATGATAACATCCTGGAATTCTACATACTAACTCTTGAGGGGAGCTTCACGGCATTTCCCAGGGCTCAAATATGGAACTTCATAGGTTACAGATGCATCTCAACTTGGCTTTGAAATTAGACTGCTTTTATAAAAGTACATTTACCTATTTATCTACTTACCATTTTATAAGATTTAGTTGGGTTTTTTTGTTTGTTTGTTTTTGTTTTTATTTTTTTTAAGTTTGTGCCATTTAGCATGATGCAGTCACTTAGAAGTAACTCGGTGCTGGAAGACTGTGCAGTGAAGGAAATACTGAGAACAGCTCCAGCCCAGAATGACTTCTCTGCAGCCGCTGCTGACTCAGAGGGCCGGGAAGCCTGGCACAGGAGCCCCGGGTTATAAATAGAGCACACGTGTGAGGCTGTGGGAGGTGGGGGATCCGGAAGGCAGGACAGTAACAGAAAGGGATGGATAAACTAAAATGTTTAGTGCTTGTCCTTGGTGTAAAAACTGCACATGTTTAGGGGTCCACGCGTGACATTGAAAAATGAGGTGTTTCCTCTTTCCATTTGCGCACGGCCCATTTGTACTTACATTCGCA